AGAGAGAGAGAGAAGAGAAAGAAGAGAAGGGAACGGACGTGCTATCTGTCGAAGAGAGACTTATAGCTCTTCAAAGGGGCGGGGGACGGCGGAGGAGCGATCGTGAGGCGGAGAACCGGGAGCACGCCTAGCAACGCGTGGCCGCCACCGCATCGTGTCGCCTGATCGGGCCTGAAACCGGGGGGGGCGGGGGGCGGAGAGACGATAAGGAGATATCCTCGGGCGTTCAGCCGTCGCGCCCGTCCCGCGCGGATTTCGGAGGCTCCGGAGGCGAAAGAACGAACGGACGGACGGGCGGGCGGGCGAGAGAGAGAGAGAGAGAGCGAGCGAACGGGCGGGCGGGCCTCGCCGGATCGACCGTCGCGAATGACACGAGTCGATATCGCGTCCGGCGCCGCCACAAAGGAACGCCGCCGCCGCCGGCCGCGACGAATACGCCGTAACGATCGGCGCCGTCCGAATCGCGGATTTTTGACAGGCGCGACGCGAGCGAGAGAGCGAAAGAGAGAGAGAGAGAGCGCGCGGCCGCCTCTCGGCGTTTGGGAAGTAAAAGGGGGCAGGGGAGGTTATTCGTTCAACTATCGGGGAGAGCGGGACGTTTTTTCCCGGCGAGCCGCGAGATGCGACGCCCGCGACGGGAGGCCGGATTGGGACCCCGCTGACGCGTAATGCACGCGGGGAGGGAAGCGGGATAGGGACGAGGGAGAGAGAGAGAGAGAGAGAGAGGATGGCCCATTGACGCGTAACGCGCGAGACGCGGAATGGATCGCGCGGCACGTAGATCGGTTTCGCGTACTCGAACCGGCTCAGGCTGCCCCCCTGCCCCGCCCGCCCCCCCTTCTCCCGCCGCCGTCGCCGGAAAGAGGAATAATCTATCTACTCACCATCGTAGCGTTCCGCTTGCTCGGCCAGTTTCGCCTTGTAAACGTTGTCCTCCCGTTCAGACATCTCGGACGCGCGCGGATCTCACGGGTTAAACGGATAACGAGGGGCCCACGCGGGGGAGAGACGCGCGCACGGAATGCCCGTTCGGCAAACGACCTGCCCTAAATACGCACAACGAAGCCACACCGCACCACGAAGACGTACAGACCACTCGCAGGCTCACTGACCAAGATGGCGGCGCCCGCCAACAATCGAAAGCAGTTCCCTTCCCAGTCTCTCGCGCAGCAGCTCCGCGGATGGACTCCGCTCGCCATGCGCTCGCGCCGTGTATTACTACGCCTCCCGTGACGTCATCGCCGCTCCGCCGCCATCTCGGCGGACGGGCCGGAACGACGGCCGCGCGCACGCGCCACGTATGTACGTCGTACGGGACTGGTCACCGATAAACACACCGTTTCTTTCTCCCTCTCTCTCTCTCTGGCTCTCTCTTTCCGGACAACGAAAAACCGATCTCGCTCGTGCCGTCGCAGACGGCTCGGCCGACGCGTGCTCCCGCGAATCGCGAGATACGCTCGCTTTCCGGCCACTCTTTCGTAAAGGGCCCGGCGCGAGGAACGCGGAACGCGAACCGGGAAGCCGGACGAGAGCCCGACGGTCACGCCGACTCGCGGGCCTCGCGCCTCCTCTCCACGGCGAACCGATCGAGCGTACTCGGGACTCTCGGAAAATCGTTGCTCGCGCAACAAGCGCGCTCCTCTTCGTGCTCTGTGTATTGGCAAATATTTAAAAAAAAATTCAGCTTTGTGAAAAACAATTTGCCGGGAAGGGACTGTTTTACCGACCCGCGCACGACGTTTGCAGAACTACCGAAAGTCGAGGGGGAAACGTCGCCAATAAAAGTGTCTCTCGCAACGACGAACACCTCAATTTGTACCAATTCGAATCGCGCTTATATAGCTCTCGTGTAATTGACTTAACATAATTTATTCGCCGGAACGGAAAGCCGCTTGCAGTACGATTAAGCCCGATCTACAATGTGCTCTTCGCGTCCAGAAACATTCTATTTTATAACAATTAATTTCTAACTCGATTCTTTTCAGATATAAATCATCAAATATATCAAATTGAAACTTAAACGCTATTTAGGACCTGGCACAGGTGGTGGCCGTTAAATTACTAAGTGAATCCATGTAGTCTCTTTCCCACCCTGTACTGCGCGCCGTTACTATCGGACATACAACACAGATTTCCCCTAGGTGGGATCGTTATAGTCAGTGAATTCACGTGTTCTAAAAATCGCTGAACGATTTTTGTAAATTATACTAATTTAATTTTAATGCTGTACTTGGCATTATAAATTTTTCCCTTTCCCCTATCGATTCTATTTTACATTTAGGCAATGTGAACAGTCACCCCTTGAAAATGGTGAATCACGTGAGTTCACGTGTTCTAAAAATCGCTGAACGATTTTTGTAAATTATTCTAATTCAATTTTAATGCTGTACTTGGCATTATAAATTTTCCCCTTTCCCCTACTGATTCTATTTTACATTTAGGCAATGTGAGCACCCCTTGAAAATGGTGTAAAAAAATTTATATATCGCATTGGTATTAACAGATTTTTAATCTAAAAAACCACATAATCTCAGAATACAATTTTTTACACCATTTCCAACGGGTGACGGCTCACATTGCCTGAACGTTCTCTAACATTACTTTCGTTAATTTAAGTTGTTCTGTACAGGAGCCTTACACTTACATTTTATATTCTATTTTACAGCCAATAAACATTTAACCAATTTATGCGAGTCGATAAACCGCATATTATACACTGCACAATCGTGCGTTGTCGACAAATTTCTTAAGCGGTATCGATTCGCCTGTACAAAATTAATGTATAAACGTTTCTCGTTGCAAAAAGCACATTGTAAATCAGACTTTACGGGCTTTCACGCGATCGACGATGGGCGGCTGTGAGGGAGACGCCACGAAATGAATATCCCTTTGTAGCGAAGCATATTTGTATTTTTTTCTCTCTCTCTCTCTCTCCCCCCACACGAGTTGGCTAATGTACAAGCGCTAATGATCCGGCTTCACTACTCGGCTCTCTCATGCACACGCATACACACGCACGTACATGTACACACGTCTCGCATCCCGTTAAATTATTTAATTCTTGTATTTATATGTATACAGATGTGTGTATAATATATTTATATATAATCATTTCAGGTTTTATAAACTATTAAAATTATAATACAGCCAGAGGACTTAGCGTAATGATCATTGTAGACGTTGGCTGCAAGCTAGCCGTTCCGTTCGGCCCGTCGAAGATACGCTCGCGCGCGTGCCCGTGATATCCCGATAACATCGCGAACGGAACGGCCTATGTGCTCATAAGTAAGAGGGATATACAATAAGTTTCATCAATTAATCGTTATATGTACATACTGGCATACATACATACAAACACATACGTACACACGCGAATCCACTCGCTATAAATCCGGTCGCACGGTGCCTACGGGTGCACGCGTGTCTCTATGCTACAGCGATAATTTCGAGAAAGAAACGATCGTTACGCTCCGCGCCCGATTCCCCCGGCTTCCTCCGATCGGGCGGAGCGGCACTTAGGAGCCTGCGATTCGCCGCCTCGCGTAGTTCGCTCTTCGAATCGTCGTTCCAATTCGGTGATAACGCGTCGCGCACCTCCGCGCGTTACAGCTCGGCAAAGGTATTCGGAGCGTAGCTTCTAGCGTGCTTGAAATCTGTGCAGACGTGAAATGGCATGGTTTCCTTTTTTTTCCTCCTTCCTCCCTTCTTCTCGCATAGAACGCTGGCCAGACTTGGAAGCATCGTCGTCATCGGTTTACAATTACGCGTGTAAAATGTTGAACAAACGTCGGCCGTCGCTTGCGCGTGTATCCGTAAATTACTGAACAAACCTCCGAACGTACATACGTAATTGCACTGTTCTTTCCGTTCACATACAATACCGTCGGGATTTTACTTCCACTTTGAACTTAATTATTTTCAGACTTTCTGGTTGCGACACTGGGTTGAATAGAAAGCGCGCGCGACGAGGGAAAAATTGCAGATACCGACGCGTGTCGGAATTCTTAGCGCACGGGATATCCTTGTAAAAATAACTCGTATGTAAAAGAAAAATCAGCGCATCCTGTTTCATATTAATTCACGTCAAGTGTTGACTCGATTCCTCATTGCATATCTCTCTGCATAACACAGACACTTTCAGCGATGGATTAAAAATCATGAAACGCACAGAATTTTCGTAGAATAGCATTGATTGTGGTATAAACTCGGATTAATCTCTAGAAAATTAGATTCGTCTAAAAATAAGTTGAAAATACTGAATATATTATTAAGTGGAACATTGAACTCTGAAATCTTTCCTCTCTAATGACAGTAGGTTTTCCATCCTCTTTCCTCGCGGTCCTATCGCTACCTCTCAGCTTAAAGGCCATTCTACAATTGCGTAAACGTGATTGTTAGCGGTTGTACAGTGTTGTAAAACACAGTTTTAAACTAGCATTTCCGATTGTAAAGCCTGTTGTAAAAGATGGCTGAACTTCATCTTTCACGACTACGATATAAAACGTAATGGCTAACCAATCAGAATTCTGTCACGTGTCCATACCGCTCTCATCAAACGCTAAACTGTACTCTGATTCGTTATCATTCACTTCAATTACGATGTATCTTATTCTATTGTATATTACTTTGTTGTACAACACTTACTACTACTTCTACTCCTACAACCCTACAACTACGTTTACGCAATTGTAGAATGGCCTTTAGGCTAAAGTAATGAAACAACCGGAATTCATTCGACTTGCCCGAGCTTCGATCTTTTACGATCTTCACACATACGGCTAATATAATAAAACGCACTTAATCGAATTGAAAAATTTAAGATTGACTATTCATTAATTCAGCGCAAAGTCCTATCGCTACCTCTCAGCTTTAGGCTAAAGTAATGAAACAACCGGAATTCATTCGACTTGCCCGAGCTTCGATCTTTTACGAATTCACACATACGGCTAATATAATAAAACGCACTTAATCGAATTGAAAAATTTAAGATTGACTATTCATTAATTCAGCGCAAAGTCTTACAAAAATAGCACGCAGGCGCATGTTAATCGAAAAACGTTGGATTAAACGCTGGACTAAATATTACTTCATTACTGGAGAAAAGAAGATACGAAAAGTAAGACGGGGAAGAAACAAGGGGAAAGAAAGGGAGAGAGGTAGAAGAGTTAAAGAATAGGCGAAGGCGATGACATGCAAGTATAAATTGCATATTGTATGTCAAGTTGCCAACGAGTTTCGTTCACTTCATTGGAAGAATTAATTGCTAAACCATATCCCCGTAACAACCCCATTATCACGTCAACGTTATTTCATAAGCATTCAAGTCCCGACCACCAAACGGTCGCGACTTTTATTCTCGGCCTACAGTCACTTTTTAACAATTCAAAATCTCTTTGCATACTGCGTGAGTACGTGACGAAGTCGCATACGCAATCGAGTCTACCTAAACAACTAAAATATGTTTGGACATCTCGACCAGTCACCTCTGCTCTTGTAATCCCAGTATTCGCCATTATAAACGAAACAACGGCTGTCCGTGTACGGATCTTGCTTCTTCCTGAACCACAGCGGTTCGTACGCCTCGTGAGATAATCCTGCGGAGAGACACCAGCCCCCGTGAGCAAAAGGATCTCGATTGTCGCCGTTTGACGATATAAACCTACCTTGCGCGGCCGCCTTTTCGAGGTCGTGCTCACGAGCCCGTCTAACAGCTCTTTGTTTCTCTTCTAAACGCAACTTTTCCGCATTAGCCTCGTCCCACCGTCCGTCCTCCATTAATCGCTGATCAGGCCTCAACCGAGAATCCGTCGGAGCTACGCCTTCTTCCGGTTCGTTCAATTGACACGCTAGTTCCGTGAACGAATAATATTTCTCACAGTCGTCACTGCAACATTATATCGGGATACTGAAACGTTTCTCATATGCGTTGACGATGTTATCGCTAAATTTGTATCACAAAAGAGCCCCTCGATTGATTTTCGTCTCGAGACATTGTACTTTTTAGCGTGGAAACGAATTCCATCGGAAAATATGTAAAACTATGCCTCGCTTATCGCAGACGTCGGAACGCTGCATTTGAATTCATTTCAAGTGCAAAGTGAGAAGAGCGAATGTAAGAGCGACGTTTCGCCGAACGGACACAATGTCTATGCGCATATCGCTACATACTTACGTAGGCATACGGCGTTTCCAAGCTAATATGTAAGGACCCGTCTTATAAACTGGATTATCCGGCGTGCCAGATGTGCTGATTACCGGCGCGATTTCTATCTTCGAGTCCCACGTACCCTGCACTACCCACTTGACCTCTTTGTTGGAATTCATGACTACGCCCTTCACCTTGCGCTGGCTGTCTCGCGAGAAGTACGAGTACGGTATGTACTTCAAATGGCACTTGATACCCTCCTTGTGATTTACAATATCCATATCGCCGCTCTGGTCGACCCACAGCTTCCCGACTATAATATTATGTACTGTAGTAGTAACTTTACGCCATGTGTAGTGTTGCTGGCCGCTGTTAAATTCTAGATGAGCGGTGCCCAACGGAATCACCTGGTGAAACAAAAAAAAAAGCTCAATTCTCAGAACCGCGTTTCGACGACACAGTGGCTCGTTGCGCGATCGGTACTTTATTACCGCGAGACATCGTACCTGCAGATACTTTCCACGAAATTTAGAAGCCATTGTAAACTCTTGCCAACATCGCCACTTCTTCCCCTCGCAATGTTGAGCTAGCATAGGCGGATGATGAGACACTTGCTCCGAAATCGCGCGCCACCCGAGATCATCCGTACGATCGCACTCGTAAGTCTCGCCTAGAAGGGGATTGAACGGCTTTCCCGTTCTCGCTGCGGTTGTGGCGTAGCTAGACACGGTGAAGGCGGCTACGAAAGCCATCTGTTCGTAACTATCCGTACATTCTGCAGCCCTGTTTGAGAAGGAAAAAAATCAGATCGATCTTTTCTCTGAGAAAACAAACGAAGGCCCGTAATCTGAGTCCCATTTCATCGATAATAAGCGCCCCTGAAAGTGGCTTGTAGCCAATCGTAAGGCTTATTAGTAGAGGTGTGACATTTTCATGTTATTTTTTGGTATCTTTTGCGTTTTGTTTTTCCAAATTTTGCGTTATTTTGATGTTAATTTTTGGCATCTTTTGTATTTCCGGATTTTGCATTATTTTGATAATGTTTCTGATAATGTCGTGGTCAGAGGCGGGCAGGGCTTCAATTAGGCCCGGTTTCACCAACGTCGATTAGTTTCATTCTTTCTTGGTCTCTTTCCAACTGTTACTTTAGAAAGAGGCAAAGGACGAATTAAGCTAGGCTTAAAGCTAAACAACGTTCGTGAAACCGGGCCTTAATGTTTAGATAGAACACTTTACGACATTTATTAAGGCTAAACATATGTTAAAAAATGTAACAAAACATAGCATATTGAAATAGCATGGCACAAATGACTGAAATTACATATTATTTTCAGGCTGTAAAGCAGTAACATGTCTAAAAAAAGTAAACAAACTAGTCTTAGGCATAAATCCCTTTGGTTTAGGATACAACATCGACGTTAGAAACGTTTACTAAGGACAATTGCGATCTTTGGCATTATTTTGCGTGTTGAGGATCATTTGAGTCATTTTGCGTTTTAAAAACGTGTTTAAACGAAGTTGGAGGCTCCAAAGTGTAAAGAAATGACATTAAAAACGTTCCTGGGGCACTTTGCGATACTTTGTGTATAAAGATAACATCAAAATGTCACACCTCTACCTATTAGCTACTTTCAGAGGCGCCTTTGTCGATGAAAGGGGATTCAGAGTACGGGTCAGAGAGTACAGACGCGACGGCAATTGTACCTGTCCAGAATATCTGCATATTCGTAGTCCTCCGTCAGTCGTTGAAGCATACTAAGCGGCTCGGAGAAGTTGACCGGCATGGGAATTTTCGACAGGTCCTTGCCGATGCAGTTCTTCATTATGCTCCACAGGTTCAAGGGATAGTTCGGTTTCTCAGGTACCCTAATCCTCCGCTTCCGTTTGGTGGTCATCCCGGTGCCGCTGCTGCCATTGTTGGACCGCCAAGCCGCCTGTTGGCACATGGGAAACGCATGTACGTCCCGCTTTACGCTCAAAACGTGAGGAGAGAAAATGGCTATTCGCTCACAGTATCCAGGTCGTCCGTGTTTGCGACGGGTGAGGGGGTCTGCGCCGCTGTGGAATCGGTCACAATGAGGAACGACTCGGCGCCAGTGGAACCGGAGACGGGCATGGGCGTCGGGTCTCCCTCCGAGCTAGAGCCATCGTCGCTACCCTGGGAATCGTTGCGGTCTCTCGCGTGGGAAATGGAATTGCTCGCGGCGATGGGTATGGTTAGCGTGAAAGTGTCCGATTCCTGCGCGTCGTAAAACTCTGCGTTGTCCTCCTCATCCTCCGACGGCGACGTTGTGACTGCGGGATCTGCAAAGTCAAAACTTTCCATTGGACGGGCGCCGCGCGGAAGCTGGAGCGCGTTGAACAAAGACCGCTTAATCGCGCCGAATAGCCCCGGATAAGCATCGAGATAAGGGACAATCGTGAGTCTTTTATCGCGACGCGACGCGACTTGTCCGAACGTGACGAAGGGGGGAAAACGCGCGTGCAAATTACGACGGCGAGCGCGCGACACGCGGCTGCGGGAGTCACGCCAGTCGACCGCGGTCGCGAGATCGTATCGCGTTAATAAAGAATCGATACGACGTCCCGCGAGCTCCGCGCGCGGTCAAGACCGCCGCGTGGATCAGTCGGTCGGTCTCGCCGCGAGAGCGAGAGCTCTCGTTCCCGCGTTTCACTCCTTCTTTCGACTCCCTCGGCGAATCGAATGTGCCGCCGCGCGACCGCGCTGCGGGTCGCGCTCCGCGTGCACCCTCGAGACTCTCCCCCCTCTCTCTTTTTGGAGCGCGCACCGTTGATCTCGAGTGTACGAGAGACGTAACGCGGTTACGGGCGAGGCAGGGCGAGACGCGAGCGAAGACGCACTCCCGCACACAGCTGTTGTCGCGCGCGTCCCGCGAATCTCGCGGTTCCCCGAATTGGACTCGGCTCCGCGGCCGCGAGAGACGTCAGCGGAACGTCGAGCCCCGCGCTCGTCACAACCTCCCGCGGGGCGATCTCGCCGTCGGCGCGAAAGAACGTCTGCCAACGCTGTCCGGGATTTAGGGGGAAGCCGCGTTATCGGAGATAACGGGAGGAAAGGGCGAATCCAATACCAATTTACGGCGATCGCTTGCCGCCCGTCGATCGAGCGTCGGACTCGGAGACGGAAGCACTCCCGACCGTGTCATGTGCGAACGTATATACACAAGTTATTACGTTACCGTATATATAGATATATATATATATACACAAGGAGCACAACGCGGGGATAAACGCTCTTTTGTCCTATGTATATAGAAACGGCACACGGACGGTGCATACGTAGACCACGGATGACGTAATCGCGCGATAATCACCGCGCATCGGCGCTTCCCTGGGGCCATCTAGCGCGACCGCGGGCAAGCGACCGCGGGCGCCGAGATTTAAATTTCCGTCCGCGCTCCGCGAACGCGCGGGACTCCGCGTCACGGACGATTTTATATATTCAGGGCCGTCTCGGGCCGGTATTCATAGTCGATTCTTATTTCAAAATCATCCCAAGTGTTATCTTAAGACGCTAATACGGCTTTGTGATTGGTTGAAAACACATTGCCTGCGTTCGTTTTCTCCCACCGGGAGCATAAACTATACTGAAAGTCTATAATTTACGTAACGTAAACTATTTCAGCATAGTTTATGCTCCCAGTGGGAGAAAACGAACGCAAGCATTAAGAGTATACGCAAGATGATCTTAAATATAAGAACTGACTATGAATACCGGCCTTAGGCTGGTATTACGTTTGTCGTACGACAAATTTTTCAAGTGTGTTGATTGGCTGGAAGATGGTGAAATTCTCGGGTATCTAGAAATTTTCTATCCAGCGGCCAATCGACACGCTTGAAAAATTTGTCGCTTCGCAAACGCGCTAGACTCCGCGTCACGGACGATTTTACATATTCAAGGCCGTCTTAGGCTTGTATTACGTTTGTCGTACGACCAATTTTTTAAGTGTGTTGATTGGCTGGAAGATGGTGAAATTCTCGGGTATCTAGAAATTTTCTATTCAGCAATCAATTAACATGCTTAAAAAGTTTGTCGTATGACAAATGTAATAGTACCCTTAAGCTTTATCTATAATTAAAGTTAGTCTTTTAATTGAGTCAATGTTAAACGTTAAATATTTGAAGACAATAGGGGCAATGTGAGCCGTCAGCAGGACTTCGGTGAATAAACAACTTATATATAGTTAGAAGATAAATTATATGTTATTTACATGATATTCAATAACAATTTGTTACATGGAAACGTTTCGGTCAGTATAACATGGGCCAAGACACACTTCATAGCGAACTATTATACATCTCCGTCTGTCTCCTCATCATATCACATGGACTAGCCCTTCCGGCACCATACAAAGTGTCTGACCACTAACATGAACTATGGTGAGGGACGTGACGGCGACCGAACAGGCATCTAATCACATATTCAGATAAACCTTCAGAATAGCGAATAAAGTATGTAGTGCCCTCACAAACCGGCCTGTCATATAGACATAGGAAAATTCCAAATAACTCATCGCGTTTCTATCATATGTTAACCTTTGTTTACAACGAAATCAAATCCCAGTGAGAAATGATTCGTCGATCGATGTCGAATCGACGCCAATTTGACGGTATCGATGTCGATTCGACATCGTTTTGACATCGCTCGACAAATCATTTCTCACTGGGATGTAGGACTGAAGAGAGTCGCATGCGCTGACCGAAACGTTTCCATGTAACAAATTGTTATTGAATATCATGTAAATAACATATATTACAATTTATCTTGTAATTATATATAAGTTGCATGCATGCTAACGAAACAGAGAATAAGAAATATAAAACTTATTTACGTGAAGGTCTGTGTCCACCCGCGGGTGTCGCTGAAGGAATCGCGTGTTGCGCGGCTTCCTCCAGGTGGGAATGTTGCCTAGCTAACTGTTCGACCATTTTCTCTATCCGCACCTTCTGGTCGCGCTCGTGCTGCAGCATCTTCTTCCACTTAGGCTCTTGTTGCTGGGCTAGTTGCAAGTAATCGCTGCTTGTCTGCAACAACGTGTTCAATCTGTTCTCGAGTTGCGTCTCGCGTGAGATTACATCGGTATTAGATCACATCAGTAAAGAGAGAAAGAGAGGATGCCATTGCCAAGGACAATTCCGTGAATGAGGCAACTCTGATTGGCATGAAAATTGAACTCTGCTCTCCGCAAATCTTGCGAATTTCCACGTAGACTTTGAACGGCATCGTTTCTACATGCAGCTAATTAACCACAGTGCTAACTGTATCTCAAGATTGTCCCCCTCTCTTCCCTCTCGTTAAGTGAATCACCGCTTGGCCATGTATTGTTTCGTTACGATAAGATTTACGAGATGTTCACACAAGGCAAGTTCAAGAGTCCATTGAGTCAAGCCCAATAAAAAAGTGACACGCAAACAATGTTCATGCTATTATCTTCCGAAGCATTACTGAGATCCGCGGATGCGAATGTATTCGACGTCCTTTTTTTTGCAGGATTATTGGAGAATTACGTCGCATCAGACTAACGTTGCCGCATTAAAAAGCTACCGCAGTCTACGATCGAATGTTGATATCTTGAAAAAAAGAAAACAAGGTTCTCGCACAGTAATGGTTGCAACACTTTTTTCCGTAAGTTTCGTAAAGGCTATTCTACAATTGCGTAAACGTGGTTGTTAGCGGTTGTACAGTGTTGTAAAACACAGTTTTAAACTAGCATTTCCGATTGTAAAGCCTGTTGTAAAAGATGGCTGAACTTGATCTTCCACGACTACAACGATATAGGACGTAAAAGCTAACTAATCATTCATTTCAATTACGACGTATCTCACTCTATTGTATATTACTTTGATGTACAACACTTACTACTACTTGTACTCCTACAACCCTACAACTACGTTTACGCAATTGTAGAATGGCCTTAAGGCCGGTTCTACATTAGTCGCATCGTAGCGTCGCAAGGGTCGTAGAGCAGTTCTAATTCAACGCTGATTGGTCGGATCTATGATTTGCGACGCTTGCGACGCTACGATACGGTCAATGTAGAACCGGCATTTAGATTCAGGTTTATGTACCAAAACGTTTTCTCAGAGGAAAAGAATTTTCGCAAGAAATAGATCGGAAATGTTCAACATGGTTTCGGAATGAATATCGAATAAGATGTTCCTCGGAGAAGATTTTGGAACGAGCCTAAATCTAAATGCACGTTCCTAAGCTCATTAAAAGAAAGTGTTGCAATCATTCTGTCCATTACTGTACAGAAAACTAGAATTTGTAATCGGACGGTTCCACTGTAAAGGCCTGGGTTCACGATGTTAGAACTTGGTCCAAGTTCTAGTTCCGAGAAATGTGTAGTCAATCAACTTGCAGCTTTTATCGAATAGCATCTTCTCGAAACTAGAGCTTGAACCAAGCACCGTGGACACAGGCCTTTACGGGACTCGCTGACTAAAGACACGAAGGAAAAGAAAAACAAAAGTGTGATTCTCGCGGACACTTAACGTCGTTCAATTTCACGTCGAAATGATCGACTGGACTTACAGTAACCATAGCGTTCGCCGCAATCCGGAAGAGCGTGGCTCGCTCGCTGACGATCTTGAATTTCGCCGCTAATTCCGGGGACGGAGGCTCTAACATTTCCAAATCGGTTAAAGCTCGTTGAAGCGCCGATCCCTGCTTAAGCATCAAGTCATTGCACGCCTGTAGATCGTCCAGCCGTCGCGTTAGATCCTTAATCACAGACGCGGTTTCTACGTTTTGATTGTCGTTATCTTGATATTCCTCCTCCTCTTCTTCTAAAAGAGATTTCGCCGCATAACGTCGCCGAAGTACTAAAGCTCGATAATATACAAGAAAAAGACAGATGCAGCACGACAATTACAGGCAAATGTATAGGCATCGTATCGATGTTACAGTCGCTTGCGATGCAAATCAAATTCATAAATTATGCACAGTGCAATAATCTATAACTAGTATACATATAAGATGACAGGAACATTCATTAAATTATTTATAACGCAGAAACAGTCTATTTATTCCGCGCAACAGTCTCAAATTCCATTTCAAAGTGGAAAAATTTCATACGACTAATATTAATACAATTCGAGTTCTATGTCTGAAACGCATAAATTACATAAATTTGAATTCAGTATTTTATACCTTTCCATTCATTACGTTCTCGGACATTTTATTAAGTGAAGAAAAAAAAAAGAAAGACACCGGCCTTCATGACGTTTCATTAATGAATGTTAATAAACCAAGCCTATTCGTATACGAGTCTATTGACTCTTTAGAGAATAGACTGAATTGAATTCTTTCGCTAAACCGCAATTTAAAGTACTTAGACTTCAGTTCTTTAAAGTATCCGTTAAACTGCTAACCTGGAAACACTTTCAAGCTATTAAAATTGATTTAATAAAAATTTTTGATGTTTAATAAAAAAAAGTACTTATCGTTTGTATATGTCGTGTTGAAAAATTTCCAATGTTTATAAAACCGATTTCTGACACAGCGAAAGTTTTACTATTTCGATTCTTCGCGTACGCTAAAATCTTTTAAATCATATTAAAACATTTTAAAATAAATTAGAGCAAAACACCGCCAAAATAATCACGTCAACATGCTTTCTCTACTGGTACTCTCTGCTAATGTATGTACGTGACGTACATCCGCAGCGGAATAATCAAATTTTTGAAACCTAAGCCATTAATCCGTCAACCCTTTCAGTCACAGTGATGCATATATGCATCCCCTTTGTGATGTCGGTATTGTCGCTGTAGTTTCTACCGTTTCAAATTTTTCTTGAATGTTTTTTACTTCAGGACTTCCTAAGGATTAAAATGTGACAATAGAATTATTAGTTCATCGATATTGCTCCGTCCTGAATTGCACGACCGAAAGGATTAACGGACAAGTGGCTCAGATTCGAAATAATCTTCTACACATCGAGTCGAAAGGGAAAGAGGCGCCGGAAACTTGGCGAGATGTACAGGCACAATCGTACGAACCAGATTCCATCGCTTGGATCGCCTTGGCTTTCGCCAGCTCGAGGGCTGTGACCCACTGTTGTCGCTCCACCTCGGTCGACGCCTTGATGTGGAAGGTCTGCGTGCCGCCGTTGCTCACGACGAACGTGCAGGCGTCCACCGTGTGTATTAAGGCCCCGTGTAAGGAAATCGTGCCGCGGCATGTGTGGGACATCTCCGCGGGGTTTCTGAAACAGGCGGTAACGGAGACGCGACAGTTTCAGGCGCGCGTCCCTCTCGGGGTCGGGATCGCCGAATGACACAGAGAAAGACAGACGTGAGTTTGCAATCGGGAGGGACTCGACTTCTCACACACGACGATCCGGAACGATTCGGCTCCGTGAGGGAGGTTTGTCCAAGCGGCCACCTCTTCTCTATCGATTAAAAAAAAAAGAAAGAAAGAAAAAGAAAGACAGAAAGATCGGTATACAGCAACGTTTGTCTGTGTTGATCTGTGACACCGTATCGACACCGATCTCCGACTCGGCGGGAGAGACGAAGGCAGGTGGACAGGATGCGAGAGGGGGTGGGGACAGTTAGCACTGAAAGGGTATGGATTTATTGGCGTAATCCAGGGAACATAAAAAACACTCGATTACGCCCGAATAAAAGCGATCCCATTACCATAGATAGAACTGGTTGGTCCACTCCGTCACTCCTTCGGTTTTGCGTCGATCCCTTTTGCGCATCCGCCATTATTTTGGTCAAGCCAGCGAGAGAGAAGTTGTATGTGCGGTAAGGCCTGGGTCCTTTTAGCCCCGAGGAACGTGTAGTCAATCAATTTGCAGCTTTTACGGAATAGCTGCGAATTCATTGGCTACACACTTCTCGAAACTAGAACTTGGACCAAGTTTTAGCATCGTGAAGACAGGCCTGTAGTGTAGCTTTTAGTACGTAAACACCCCCCCCCCACACACACGCGCGCGATTGCTGACCAAATCAATGGAGGAATACCACGTGACCGGGATCGCAAAGATCAAAGGGGCCGACAGAGAGTGGTCCTACTAGTTATACTATGCCATTACCATCCCAATATCACGGATCCCCGGCTGCTGCTCCCCCATCCCGGCGCGTCCGCATGAACGAACGTCTCTCGGTCGTACTCGCGGTCGGCGGTCAAGAGCAATCCGTGGGAGTTATTCTCCGTCATACGAAACGACGATCCAAAGACCGACGGGAGGGGAAGGGGGGGGTGGGTGGGAAGCGGAGACGAGGGGAGGAGAGCTCTCAATCGGATCATGCACGTGAGGTCGCTCGGGTTAATCGGACACGCAACAATCGCGATTCCGCGTGGAGGAAAGAGAAAAAATATATAGTCGCGCTGGCGCGGAATCGCAGAAAACGGGGTGTCGCGGAAACGGATCGCCGAGCCCCGGGCTGCGCTCTTCCACTCGCTCGCGGGGATGAACGGAGGGAGTCGCGCGACGGCTCATCAGCTGCTGGTCCGAGAACTCTCCCTCTTGCTTTCGGAATCGCGGACGTTCTAGCTCGCGGGCGGCGAGTAAAATTGAATTAAAGTCGTATTTCCGTCTGAATAAACGAACAAACAATGACGCCCATTGCGATCCGACCGGTTGACCCGGCGTTGCGAGTAGCGGTGAATCTATACGTCGGGGCCAGAGGACGCGTGAATTCTTCCGCCAATCTGCGCGCGAGTCTGCGAACGGTGCGGGTCGTGTGAAAGGACCGGCTTCGACACACAGTCGATTTAAAAGGAAGGACCGCGTTCCATTTTACGAACAGAGTCTTCGCAAGTTTCTTGAGAGATTCTCGCAAAATTCTGCGCAGACAGGAAAGTGTAATTCGAGTAATGCGATTCCGGAGCTCGCGTGATCGCGCGATCCTCCTCCGTTCTCAAAGCGAGTAAAACGCACGTCAAAGGTCATCGATCTGTTTAAGGACGCCCTGTACACGCGCAGATATTGGCGGAAACGTGTCTCGAGATGTGCCCGCGTATATTAATTTCCAAATCTTACAGTGTACCGCGAAAAGCTGTGCGAATTATTCGAATTATCGAATCATGCGAATTGAATCGAATCGGGCGAGACTCGATTCGGCGCGAGTTTGAATTTCTGTGACTCGAATTCCAACTGTTCGAACATTTCGAATCGTAGAGGAATGTCCTCTATATGAGATAAAATTCCAATTTGAGACAGTAGGTTTTCAACGTCCAAATTCAATCACAAATATTTTGCGCAACGATTGCACAATCTAACAATCAATTGTCCAGAGAAAATTCCCTCCGTGTACAAAATCGTATTTCCCATTAATAAGCAAAACAGCATGTTATGTTAACAGGTACGTTCGGTACAATCGCTCACTGAGTAGCAATAGAATTGGTTCTTGCCTTAGGATCCGAATTAACGATGATTGATATCAAACTAAAAATATTGTTTTATTTTAGTTATTACGTAATGTATCCTGTAACAATTGGATAATGTTATTGGACACTTCGGAGTACTTTAATAATTTATCTATGATTTTTCGCTCGATTCTTTCGACCAGCGACATTAAATAAGGTATACTTTACTAGTTTCATATAAAATATTTAAATATTTTTTACCTTAAAACTAAGTTATATTATTTAATCAATATTACTTTTCTACGTCGAAATATTCTCTTACTGTCTACACACGTTAAAATTCAATTTAATAATAATTATATTATTAACTAAAAATTATATTTCAACGATTCGATTCGATTGAATTCAATTCGCTTTGTTTCGAATAAAATTTTGTCAATTTATTTCGATATTCAGAATCGAAAAAGAAAATAAACTCCGATTCGATTCGACATACAAAAATCCTTGATCCGCACATCTCTAGTATCGCGCGTAATGTCGCTCGTTACGTAACGCCCGATAAATATTTGCGATGATGAAACATCTGGACGAAAACCGACGGATTTTCACAATGAAACGGTTCTTCGGAATTTACTGAAAAGAAAGAAGACAATTGCGTTGAATTTTATGTATCGCGAATCGTTACAGCCCATTACTATGCCTGATACCGCTGATAAAATTCATTTTATTCGGCGGCGACACGTTGACCCGATTTTTCCAACTCCGCGATATTTATACAGGGTGTCCCGGCGATACTTTCCTGCAAACCGCAGATTCTTCAGCGTGTTCGAATTAAACTTTCACTCATCGGACACGTCGAGACGCGCGTCCATCCATCTTTCCGACATTCGTATCAAGGAGAAACGGATGTGTCACATTTATGTAAAAACTCGCGGCTAATAGAAAGCACGCTGTATAAATCTTGCGCCGAGTCGTATCAAAATCAAGAGGCGCGGTCGTGTCTCGCGCCAAGTTCACGCGCAGCGAGATTTCAAAAATATATACGAACAGTTTTTCCCTGAGGATTTACTTCCACTTGATGCCATTTTCTCACATCATATTTTTCGATAGACAGAATATACAGTAGTTTCTTTCCACAGATTTTTATGCACGTCAGTATTTTTCATCGTTGTTACACAGCAATGACTCGACAGGCGCGTGTACTTGGCGGTTTTCTTAAATTTGTGTTTTATACGTGAGGGAGAATTTGGGCGATACGAGAACTCTCTAAACAGAAAGAAAACAAAGAAATTATATTTGATCGAGAGGAAAGGAGGAAGTCGTTCGGCGGAGATTATGAAATCTTTCGTTTCGTCGATCGCACTCGGAGAAAGAGAGAAAACGTAAAATTGATCTGCGATCATTGCGTCGGGTACAACTTTCCAGCATCCGCCAGAAAGAAGATGGAGAAAAACAAAACCGTCTAACTTAAGAGAGATACCGGTAGACAGCTGTCTCGTCGATCCGACAACGACCATCAGACCGTGTACACTTGTCGTACGATAAATTTTTCAGGCGTGTCGATCCGCTGCACAATAGAAAATTTCTAGAGACTCAACAACACTTTTCTATTCTGCAACCAATCGACACGCTCGAAAATTTTGTCGTACGACAAATGTAATGCCGTAGGGCCTGAGCAGACTGGCTGTCTTGTACTCTTAGGACATGCGTTACCTCAAGACAAAGGGTTCATTGTAAAAAAAAATTACGTGTAAAATTATAATATTGGGACCATCTATTAAAGGTGTACATTTACATACGTCTGTAAATTTACACCTTGTAGGTAAAATTATTACCTTATATAATAAGTAAACTGCTTGCTTTTAATTGTGTAAATTTTCAATTTGTTGTAATTTTTCATCAAGTATAAACAAGTATTTACACAGCAAAGAGTAAAAAAAATTTTAGGGGGCAAAGTACACAAATTTATATATTTCCATTATTAATAGTGCAATCGCTACACTTATTATGCATGTAATTTTACGTACTTCTTTTACAGTGTTAAAACATAAAACATTGTCTTAAGGCTGTCTTAAGAGTATAAGACAGCCATTCTGCTCAGACCCTTAGGGCCACTATTACACTTGTTGTACGGCAAATGTAATACCGGCCTTACACTGCGTGAGATCGCTACAAAAGTGAACAAAAGTGACGATAAATCGAGACGAACTGGCACGATAAAGGACACGACATAGAGAAGCGACACGTTTCATTGCAACGCGGCTGCGTCGCGTACACACATAAAAGTAAGAGAAACAGAGAAATGAAGACAGAAAAAGAGAGTGAGAGATAAGGACGATGGAGAACACGAGTGTTACGTTTATTAGCATACGGTTTAGCGTACGAGGACACGTTTAATTTCCAGATTTGCACGCACAGGCGATACGTAGCGTAACCGCCGATACGTCACAGGTTATATAGGTGGAGAAAGCGGATGAGATTCATTTCTTTTTGTCGAAGCCATCGATAAGTTAAAATTGCTCGAAAAAGAAAAAAAAACAGTTAAGTTACATGACGTGTGCGCATGTGTGTTACGTGTGTGTGTACGTGTGTACACGTACGTGTGTGTGATCGAGTATCAAAAATGAGAGATGGGGACAACGTCCTGAGGGGGGGGGGGGGCTGTTTTTAATTACAAACTCGCGAAGAGAGGTAGGGGGAAATCGGGATATGCGATTTCGCATATTTTGTCTTTTTCGTTTTGTTTTTCTTTTTTTTTTTTTTACTTACTCGGAGGCTCTGCCAGCCCTCCGCTTGCGTCGCGATGATTTTGGCCCCCCTGTTGGTTGAGCCCTAAACAATCCATAAAACAAATAGACCCCGTTCACATTGTGTAACACTGTGTGCAAGGATTATCACACGAAATTTCGTTTTCTCCTCGGTTCCGTTTCTCTTTCGCCTCTTACCGCAAGAAGTAGACAAGAGCACAGGCGAGCTTTTCTCTTTGTCAAGTAGCTCCAAGTTCGCGAGATCGTGGGGGGCAAAGAGCAAAAAAAAGGGGGGAAACCGTCGACGCGAGACGTAAGGGTTCACTCGGTCTTGCAAACGCTTGCGGTGCGTGATATTTTTGCGTGCTATTACGCGTGTTTGTACACTAGGAATCGTCGATGCCTCCCACACGGAGACAAATTAAAATTTACCATGAAAATTATGTAACTGTAAGACAACGTGGCATTTCGAGGAACTTCTTTCAATTTCACTGTACATTTTACCGGTAAAATCAGGGTCGGGAAGTAACTCGTTAACGAAGTTACAGTTACAGTTTTTTTTTTTAGTAACTCTAACTTAACTTCGTGACTTTCTCTACATTTGTAACTTAACTCAGTTACATTTTTTCGATAACTAGTAACTAATTTAATAGTTACATTAATAGTTACTTTATGTATGTTTTAAACCTCCGCGGACTGCATCAGGCCTTGCATTTACGCATAAACGCCTTTATCGACGCCTTTACAATTCAAGTGCAGATTTGATATTTTTATTTTCATCGTAAGAAAGTAACTGCAATGTAACGAGTCGTTACTTTTTGAGTAACTGTAACGCGTTACTTTTCAGAATTAGTAACTTGTAACTGTAACTAGTTACATTTTTAGCGAAGAAACTGTAACTGTAACCAGATACTTTTGTAAAGTAACTTTCCCAATCCTGGGTAAAAAGTATAAAATTTTTAAAAAACCCCCCTTCGCGAAATGCCACGTGGTCCCACAATTACATGACTTTCAGGATCAATTCTCTCCGTGCACATGAATTTGTGCACATTTATACATTTTGCATATACGTACATGGAAAATGTATGCGTGTTCTACACGTGCTTAAACCAACGTGGGAAGGTGCGTCGGTGATTCCTAGCGTACGCTGTGCGAGAAGAAGCCTCACGACGGACAAATCGGGTGTAAAATTCGTATGACGGCGGGTCCGTGTGACACGCGCCGGTGAGACAATCCTCCT